CGAACCATACTTTGTATACGTACATAAATTGAAAATAAATATAAGATCTAAGTGCATAGGTAGCACATTTTACCTCTCCATCTCCCTGTAAATAGAAGAAATGGTTTTTCCTATTAAATTAAGACATGTTTACCGTAGTGCTTTAATTGTCCACTCTCGAGTTAGGCAGTAAGAGTCATTGTGGGGCAATTATTCATTATATATATATAGTTGCTCGGCCTCCCCTATGAATTAAAATCTATTTTTTCCCAACCCTGCCTCGTTTTCTCCTCCCTCAACAGCGCTCCAAAGTTTCCATTGAAGACGAAGATCTATTTACGAAGATCAATAAAATGGAGAAGGTAGAACAACAGTGAAGTGCAGCGACTACGAAAGTGAAAGGTTGTAAAGGTGACGATAAATAACACCGTTTTAGATCTACATTTTAATTCCCTACCTTTTAAAGTTTATGCTTTATTTCCTTTTTCCTTAACAAAATAAGATGTGCCTTGTTTTAACCCAAAACTACTTTGATAATCTAAAAGTGTAATACTGTATAGAGTAATTTGAGAATGTAAAAGAATAAAGGAAAATGAATAAACTGGTATATTAATGAAGAATTAATAAAACAAGGAGAATGAATACTTCATATAATAGAGAGTTGATTTTGTCAATGGTGTTTTACAAATGATTCCCTTCATCCCTTTATAACTGAAGTTATCATCGTTTTTGCTTAACATCTAACTACCCAACGACTTCTACTCTCTTGCTATCAGAATCGGAAGTCAGTTAATACTTCCTATCTATTCCTCAGTTTAAGCTTGATCTAGCTATTCTTATCGGGTCATTCAAATACCTGGACTGGGTCTTCATCCTCTTCGTACGACTTTGGGACAACTAAAATATTATCTGGTCAAGAGCCAACTTTTGTATTAATCATTTGATTAATTCCTGGCCCAACAATTGCCCCCATTCAATAAAGGTCATTCTCAAAAAGCGTGTGATTCTGATTTCGGGAACCACATTTTTTGAATTCATAGTGCCCAATTTCTATTTCTCAATCGTAGTGGTTCTATGACAAATCGTCTCTTAAGCTCCTACTCTATTTTTGTGCATCTACTTTCGAAATCCAAAAGAGAGTTCCATCTGTATTCATTCACTGAGAAGACAAGCTTTGATATGATAGTTTGCCATAGCCTCCGAAGGATTCATCCGACAAGGATTTTATGCTCCCAATGTAGTTCAAAATGTAATTTGTGTCTGTCATTTCACATCCGATAATAATGTCTTTATTAATTTTAACCCGTTTAAGTTTTCTGTAAAGGATCTCCACACAAGGGCACAAATTATGAGGTGTAACAACTCAGTTGAACTTTATTTTCCACCTTGGTCATCCATCTCATCCTCTCCATAGTCTCTTATGGTTGTTCCTACCGAGGTGTGGCATAACCCTCTTAGGCACCATGGCGGTCCCATTTTTAGTTATCTAAGAACAATTTTTTTTCCATGTAACCACATTCCTTTTTTTCCATTATATTTCATGCCAACTTGGAAAATATAATAAATGACCTTTTATAGTTCTACTTCTATTATGGAGGCTCTGTTTGTAATTCCCTTCCTTATTTGGACATCACATGTTTTAAGTCCTTCGAAGTTGTCGCTATTTTGTTCTTTTTATAAATGATTACACAAATTGTATGCGGCTTTATCATGTGAAAATAGATCTCAAACATTTTACACATTTTTTCACTTTTATACTTCAATCCCTACACAATTTGGGTGACATATTAAAACATTTCAATGTGACAATCGCAAAGAATTTGTTAATACTTTCTTTCAGCAATTTGATTTTAATCATGGCATGCATTTTTATTCTCTTTTCCCTACACATCCCCTCAAAATGGTAAAGGTAATAGAACAGTTCCTTCTATTGATAACATCGCGCACACACACTACTCTTACATGCCGCCATGCCACCAACACGAAGACGTGACGCCGTTCAAATGATCACCCACCTTCACAATATTCTCCCATCCAAAACACAATCCCACCACTCACCGATAGAATTGTTATATTGACATCGCCCCAATTATACTCACCTCTGGATATTTAGTTGCCTATGTTTTCCTCATAAATCTCCCACTATAGTACATAAACGTCAACCACGTTATACACTATGTGCCTTCCTTGGTTTTCTCTCTAACCACAAATGTTATAAATGACCGCATTAATAATATTGCCATTTCTTGCTGCGTCACATTTTTTGAGAACAAATTTTCATGCAAAACTCACACCCTTATAACCTCCATGGCTTTCTAGTTTGTGAGCATCGATATTAATCCTCTTTTCCGTTACCCTATAGGTTATAGCCTCTCTGCAGGCTCAGTCTGCCCACTTCGTGTGAGTTCATATCCACAGTCAAGCCCTCATCAAGTTGGCCCATAACCAATCAACCCCCTCCCTTCTCCTGTGATTAAGTCTCCAATCTATCTATCATCGTGTGAGTTTGTCACCTCCCAAACTGACTAAAATACTCCTCCGGCTTCTCAAACATCACCCTCACTCTCTGTATCCTCCCCTCCTCCCCCTCGTCACCCGATGCTCACTTGCAGTCACCCAAACATCTTAAGCAACAATTTAACCTTGCCACACATAGCAGTACATGTCCCTCATCTATTCCTTGATCACCTCTCACTGCTCTTAATGACCCAAATTGGTAATCTGACATGTTTAATTTGATGAATATAGTGGAATTATAAAAATTAAGGTGTCAGAGTTGGTTCATAGTCCCCTAATGTTAATATTACTCATTCTATATGGCCTTCTGCAAAATTAAATCCCAACTCATTGTCAAAGGTTAATGTTTACATATTAGAGTTGAGTCGTTGACTATGATTATACTTTCATTCTGGTTGTGAAACCCGCTACCATCCAGATTTGTACCTTTCTTGGTTGTTTCATCAACTTGAGATTTCATCCTGTAAGATCAACCAAATAAGAGGAGTAGTCCAAGAGTTTATATATGATAGTTTATATTTTTATATGTGGGTGGTGTGAGATAGCTTAATAAACCCCCTAGTAAGATGGTGGTTCTTTGGAGCAGATCAATCTTGTAGTGTTTGTGCTCAATTGTTGAGGCTTACGAGAAATTAATTGATTGTTGTATCTGTCCAACTCCTTTGTCCAACTCCTTTGTTCATATAACGAATCAAATCCCGAAACCGAAGAACAAAAAGTGCGACTTGCGTGTGCGGGCGACCTGCACACCACGTTAATTTTTGTTCTTCCGGTACGTTCCTATTTTATTTTTGCTCCATGCAGCAATAAATGCCCAACGTCTTTGCGTCTTTGTACCTTGCAACGGGTTGGGACAGCTTTGCGTCTTTTATGCTCCGGAACGTTGCAGCATAAATGCCCAACGTCTTTGCGTCTTTGTACCTTAATGCAGCGGGTTGGGACAGCTTGCTGGGAGAATCCATGCTAGCATGCTGCCATTGAAGTCCCAACGTTCATATGAACGTTTTGGGCCGTTTATTGGCTGGAATCAATGTCCAACGTTTAGGACATTGATGTCCAACGTTCACAAGCCTTAAACAGCCATTAACACACCTATAAAAGGCTGGTAGGTGCTTTGCTAACAACGCACGTTCATACACTTCGTACACATACTTTCAGAGCTAAAAACCACCTCTAGCATTCCATAAAAATCTTCTGTGTTAAGAGCTTTGTTCTCGTTCGTTGGGACCATAGTTTGAGTGCTAAACTATCGTTCGAAGTCATCGTATCCTGGGAAACGATCGTTGAAACGCTCCTAGCACCCCGGGAGGCAACGAATACGTTTTAAGGAAATCGTGTGTAGCACGAGCTTTGGCTTATTCTGCTTCATCTCATTTCTTGTTTTTCTTTAAGTCATTTTATTTAATTAACTTGAATTAATTATTTTTCTTAGTTTTTCGAAACACACCCAACAAGGTGGACATTAAAAATAAGTTTTAAAGTTTAATATCACTCAAAATAGGGAGTGCAAGTCAAATCTTCCCATCAATAAAACCAATAAATGGAAGCACACCGGTTACTAGGGGTGAACAAAAAACTGAAAACCCGAAATCGACCAAAAGCGAACCAACCAAAACCAAAATCGACTAAAATCGAATCAAACCGAAATCGACTAAAACTGATTAAACATTGGAGGTTCGGTTTACGATTTCACCTTTTGGGTTTAAAAACTGAACGAACCAAAACCGACCAATAAAAACCGGTAAAAACATGCAAACACAGACCGAAATCATAACACTGATCAAAATTAACCGAACTAAAACTGAATCGAAACCGGTTCAAGTAATGCGGTTCGGTTTACAGTTTCACCTTTTTTAAAATTGAGCCTGATAAAATCGAAAATGATGAAACCGAACCGACGAACACCCTACTCGTTATGGGAACTTGGGACTTGGAGGTATCACTTGTCAAAATGATAAGTGAAGACTTATCTTTTACACGTTTGTGGTATAACCTTTCCCATAACCTCACGTCACGGGAACGTCAACGTGCCTTATAAACTAAGAAAAATCCTACTTGTACACAAAATTTGTATACATTTTTTGTGAACACTCCGTAGTTGCCTGTGTACACAGACACCTCATCCCAAAACAGTCTGTATACATTTATTTATATTTTATTATTCCTCAAGTAGTAATTTCTTGAAAAAAAGGATGACACCCCATCTCTGAGGCCCCCAACACCGACCGGACGACACGATGGGAGGATGTAAATTGGACTATAATCACAATTTGACAGATAGAGATTGGGGCTCCGTCCCCGGTACTTGCAGAGGCCCTATGGATTTTTAGCATAGTAACCTCTCATCGCAGTTGACGGGATTCGAGCCCGCCGAGACCTAACCCTTGTGGCACTCCCTCGTTACCAGTTGAGCTACACCCACCGGTAATCCTCAAATAGTAATTTCTTTGTATGTATATATATAGTGTATGTATTATAGTCCTTATATATATCTTTGGTAGTATCGGTGGCCCTTAACTTATTCGAAGGCAAATAATATTATCCTCAACGAACCGACTGGACCCCTACGTAGGTACTTCTTATCTCCCAGCCGTTTCCACGATCTCTTCCCCCTCGTCAACCGCCTACAAACTTCCATTCTTCCCATCCCCTGCCCACACGTACTCCCCCTCCCATAATCCCCCGGCCCCACCGTCACGTGATCATCATTCCCTATATCTCCACTATTTAACCCCCGCCCTTTTTCTCTCACATTCATTCTCCATCTCCGTATATACAAACTGAAATCCAGGCGTAGCTAAGGGTGAGGATGCTTAGCTGATTTCAGACTTCCAGCATGCAAAATCTGATAGGTAAATTTGGTATGAGTTGTACTCTTAATTGAGTTTCACAATAATGTGTATTTGTATTGTGCATATTTTTATTAAGAAATTTTGATGCTTTTATTCAAAGAGTATTTGAATGCTCAACTTTGAGTTTTTGCACATTTAGTTCGTTCCGTGAGAGACGATTTTATCATTTGTCTTACAATTTTTCTATACGACTTTCATAAAAGTGACATTTTTGATCGACATTTTTTATCATTTAGTTAAGGGCTGGCTTTTTTTAATACTAAAAAACAGGAAGGGCTATGCTTTACTCTGCTACTTGCATAAATTGATTAGTGCAGGACAGAGTTTTGGCTAAAGGGCCTGACTTCTCTTTGAAATTCCGTTTGGATTGAGGTTATCCCTATTAGTATAGGTTATAACCTAATTAAGTCAAAGTTAAACCACGATAATCATTTTATTTGTCGTCCCCTGCAATTTCAACATACAATATACGAAAAAAAAAATTAAGATTAGTTTCTACATATTTGTGCGAAGTTTCTACATTTTATTTCTACTTTTTTTTTGCAATATACGAAGTATGTACTAATGGTTTGCCTACCTATTCTCTGCCAGAGTTTAAAAATTAAGATTAGTTTCTACATATTTGTGCGAAGTTTAATTCTCATATAACTACTCAATTTATGTTCTCCCTCCTTACTATTGGATTTTGCCTACTTTCTTTGTTTGGTTGTCTCAAAAAACTTTGTCTCAGCCAATATGTGGTTCTGCTCGTTTCTCTCTCTTTCTCCGCACAAAACTCCGCACAAAACTCAAGCACACAATTGTTACTATTTATTGTTTTTTATTTAATTCAAAGTGTGCAATGTCTATAATTCTATTGGGACGGATTTTGGTGGTTGGCCTGACAAAAAAAGGCATATCTCAAACTTCAAAAGAAGTTTGAGTCTTACATATCAATCCTCTGTCATTTTTTATTTGATTGAAGATATAGTATTTGTTACTTGTTAGACTTGATTCTCAAGTAACCCTTTAAATTTGGAGTATTTTTTATGAACTGTTTCTTTTCTGTGTGAATCCTTCTCCATGTGAATTTATTTTTTAAATCTCTCACTTAAGCTAAACACCCTTAGCTTACATTTAAGTACTTCCGGATACACGTTAGTTAACTTTTTACGTTGCTTCCATATTTTAAACATTTGCTATAAATGGCTTGAATTGGCATACCAAAGTAATAGGGGGTAAAAGGATTACTCTTGAAAACGTAGGAAAGATAATGTAAAAGTATAAAAGTGAAGATAAAAAGTAGAAAAAGTAATCTCCAAAAATTAAGATTTTACTAAAGGACATAAGCTTTAAAATAAGGAGGGATTTTTTTTTTAAAAGAAAGTTGATGATTAAGTCATGCAACCCATGCATGTGGATGTACTCATAAATTATAATTTTAAATCCCTTAACAGTTCGATCAAATCATGACTTTTTAATTGGAATTTACAATTTACAATTTGGTATCTTAGTTCTACTACATTCTTTGTGGTAATTATATATCCCTTAGTTTGATAACCAAATCAGTACTTTTTAATAGGAATTTATTGCAATTTTCGCCCATGCAGATGGTACCTTAAGTTCTACATTTCTACTAAAGGTTGAGTCGTTTTACTAAATACCCACCCTCCAAACATATGAGTTGCTCAAGGAATTTGTGTTTTTTTTCATGAACAAATTACTTACATTTGGGTAGTCTTTTTAAACATTACCCCCCAAAACTCAATAAATTGGTACTACCATGTGATAGGAAGTTATACACGGAATCAAAGTGAATGCCTATCTCAGAATCTCATATATTTGACATATGCCTATGTATTAACCTCAATCATATCTTTCCATTTTATTAAACAAATTACACATGCAAGAGAAAGTTCTTTTTTTTACTACTCCAGGGGATATCTGGGGGGAGGGGGCTGGGGGAGCCTGGACTCCCTGGAGTAAACTGGGTTGAAACTCGCTCCATTGAGTCGGCAACGAGCTGAGTTGGACCGCTTCCTATATATGAGTAGAATATAATAGTACTAAATTCGCACACCATTGTTTTCCCCCTAAAGTATCACTCACTCCTACAATTAAAGAAGTTTTATCTATTTTTTCTTTTATTATGACTAGGTTAGGTAAGGCATTCTATATTTTAGCAGTAAGCTTTGTCTATATTTTAATACTATTTAGCTGTAAGCTTTGTCTATATTTTAATACTATTTTAATCGATCCCTTGGGAGACATTCCACGGTGGGAAAAAATGTTTTCATAGCACCATTTTATCTTTATCTATATATATGACTAAAACATTCATACATTTCTAATATTTGATTAACGAAATTAAACATGACTCTATACGAGTAATAACTAAATTGAAGGGATGAAAAATAGTATCAAGGCACATAACATACATGCAGAACACCACTAATTTAGGAATTAAAAACGGATTAGTCATGTTTTAGGAATTAACACCACTTATACTCAACTACTCATACTCATAGTACTTGGCATTTTATTGTGTTCAGATAGCTCATGATTAATGTTTCTATGTTATAATTAATTAATCACATAATGACAAATTAGTTCAAATCCTCAGGCAGGGATGCTCGACTTAAGTGGAGCATGGAGCACAAGTACCTCACAAAACAAAAAGAAAAAGCAAAAAAGCAAAAAAAAAAAAACTTTTACCACATTGATTAACTACTTTGACCTGAACAAAGTTCAAAATTCCAGGAGCAACTGCATGCACTTGACACATTACCACCAACCGAGAAGAATACAGAGATATATATACACTTGAAAGACAGAAAGAAACTGATCGAAGATGGTCGCTCCGGATTCAGAAATGGTGTCTCAAAGCGAGGTGGAATCCGCATTGCAGCTGCAACCAGCAGGTCATCATCAGCTGCATCAGAATAAGAACAACAATACTGGGTATGCATCATCATCACTAGGCAGGCAGTCCTCCATATACTCTCTCACGCTTGATGAGTTCCAGCACACACTCTGCGAAAGCGGCAAGAACTTCGGGTCTATGAACATGGACGAGTTCCTCAACAGCATTTGGACTGCCGAAGAGAACCAAGCACATACTCATGGCCCTCCACCAGCAGACGCTTCTAATGATGTCATGATGCATAATTTCGTGCTCGGCGATCATCACCATACTAATACTTCTAATAATAATAATGTTCCCGTGGTTGACAAATGTACAACCACCGCAATGCAGCCAGGCTTAGCCCTGGCAAGGCAAGGCTCCCTCACGCTCCCGGAGCCGTTGTGCCGGAAGACCGTGGATGAAGTGTGGGCCGAGATTCACCAGCAGCGCAGCGATGGGAAGTTCCAGAACAATCAGGCAGCATCCGGTTCGAATGCACAGAGGCAGGTTACGTTTGGAGAAATGACGCTCGAAGATTTCTTGGTCCGAGCTGGTGTGGTGCGGGAGCAGCAGGGGTTTGCTCCCACCCCTCCTCTACCCTCATCCCACCATCAACCGCAACAATATGTAACGTACCAGAACAGCAGCAATAACCCTGTAGCCATGGGTGCACCTTATGTGGCCCCACGATCCGTCATGGGCTTATGTGGTGGCGGTGTTGGTGGGGGAGTTGGTGTCCCTACACCTTACCAGACACTTCCACAGCAGCCAGCACCAGTGACTGTTTATGGAGGGGCAATGGGGAACCCATGTAGTGCTGGTGTCGGGTATGGGCACGTGCAAGGAGGACCCGTTGGGTTGGGCTCACCGATGAGTCCGATTTCTCCTGACGGGCTGTGCATGAATACCCAAGGGGCTGACGGAGGAAGCCACTATGGATTAGAGGCTGCGGCCGGGATGAGAGGAGGAGGGAGGAAGCGAATCATAGATGGGCCAGTGGAGAAGGTGGTAGAGCGGCGACAGAGAAGGATGATCAAGAATAGAGAATCTGCAGCTAGATCCCGAGCCAGAAAGCAAGTATGTATCTATTTCTTTTTGTGCATTTCCTTGTATAATGAAGTGATCAACAAAAAAACTGTGTAACAATAATAGATTAATAACTTTCAGGAATCTTTCAGTAAATATTTTTCTAACAAATATTGTTTGGGGTGTTTTTGTAGTCACAAGATATCATTCCTTGAAACTATTTTCATGTAAATGGCCCTTGAGCAGAAATTTGACACATTGTATTGCGTTGCAGGCTTACACAGTTGAACTGGAAGCAGAACTGAATCAGCTGAAAGAAGAAAATTCCAACCTCAAACAAACCGTGGTATGCACCGTGTGATACAGAGTATGTACGTTAAATCTGTTGAGTCCATGCAATAAAAATACTAAGTTTGTTCTGTTTTTGTGTTTCACATCAAAGTGTGATCTAACGGCAAAGTTGGAGAGGAAAAAGAATGAAGAGGTAAATGAATAGTCATAATTTAGCAGCACTCACATCTGATCTATTCTACATTTACTTAGTTCATTAATTAAGTAATTCCGCGGCGAGAAGTAATATAGAAGGTGTTCAATATTTCAAGTTTCAGAGTTTAGAGGAAATGAAATCAAAAGCATGCACAAAAGCGGAAAAGGCGGCAGAGAAACTGAGGATGGTTAGGAGGAGCACGAGCTGCGCTGCTGCACTTCTTCGAGCCATCTGATCATATTTGCACACCCAATTTTGTGAACTTATACATACATAATATACCTAGACATATATACATACATAAATGGTTGGGAAATATACTTTGGTAGGAGAATAGAGTTATCTTTTATCTGTATTCTGTAATATAGACTATTTCAGTTATGATACTTGATTGATAGGAAATGACATTAGGAAAAACTGCTTGCTATTATTTCAGCATGACTGCCTGGACATTCCAAATGCCACCTTGATCACCTTGAATCAGGCAAAAGCATGCCTGTTCTCTTATACTTCTTGGCATCAAGAATATGCTGGTGCACAAAGAAGTGGACTTTACTAGCTAGGGTTGTCATTTTCCCTCTTATCTCATTGTCTACAGAGATATGGGGGAGATCATTCTAGGCACTAGCTAGTCAGACTCCCCTGCTGAAGAACGATTAATGCTCAGTAAGAGCTACAACATAGAAAGGTAAAATAGATCAGGACTTGATCTTATAAATGGATAAATAGTTTTTGGAGAAGGGATTGAGATCCCCTATAGATAATATGTTCTCTTTTTTTCCTGCTGTGAGGTTCATGCTCATTTTTTCTATACAAAAATATAACATAATGGAAAATTAAGTTTATACACGTTTTGTATACGTGGTAAGATGTGGTAAAGAATCTAGAAGTCATCTATCTCCAGCTAGACAACCAGAGTAGTCAAGAAGCTAGGGTTACATTCTTGGCAGAATGGGAAATTGATGTTAAACATTTGACATGGTCAATGGTACTTAGAAACCAAGCTCTCTGTGAATATAGCAGCCATCAAAGAGTATCCTGTTCTGTGGGGTCCAAGAGCCCTGATTTCCTTCATCCTTAGATCACACATATGCAGATACCAATTAACTTCTAATAAAGTTTCACCATCTTTGATCTTTCCCGTATCCAAGCAGCCTCTTGATGTTCAAATATGGTCCAAGACATTTTGGTCCAACACATTGCCTTATTCAGAACCCATATATCAATACCTGTCTGCTGCGTTTTGAGCAGTTCATAAAGAAACATAACCACATAATTGTTGTACACAAGCAACATAGCTATATCTCCCTGCTTTGATTTGAACATTTTAGGTGCTTGATCTCTTGAAAAACATCATTCCTAATGTCAAATGCAATGATGTTTCAGTTGTTTTTATGTTCTCCAATAGTAAAATAGTAATTGTCCTAAAATCCATCCAAGTATGTGTTGCAACAAGATTTGCTCATCCGGTGGCTGCAGGTGTTATCTTCTGCTTTAAGTGCTGTTGAGTGTTTCCAGGAATCAGTGCCTAATGTATAAACTGAGAGAATTGCAGGTGAATGCCAAGCGTCTATCAGGGCGTTCCAGTAGTCTCTTATCCAAATAACTTTATACACACTGCCTAATGGATCCATTCCAAATCCCAGTTTGTATGAATTCATGTGAAGTGAATCTGACACTATTGGTTGGGAAAGTGTAAGAGAAATGGCCTCCCTTGTAGCAGGATTCCAAAGTGTTGTCTCTTCTTCATCATTGCATAACGAAAACAGCTCATTTAACGGGCCGTTTATTGCCCACGCAAATGTGGGTATTTTGGTGTAATCTTGATATGAATGGGAAGCAAGAACTTCATTATATTATATAAATGATGAATCACAATATGGTATGTACATAAATGTTCTTGACCCGAAATAATACTACAATATCAAGATTACACCAAAATACCATTGTGAAGTCCAAAAATTATTTTGGATTTTCTTAACTCTTAAATGAATCAAAATGGTACCTCAACTATACATAAATGTTTCAAATTGAGATTTTATTCAACTTTTTAACAAAAGTCTTTCATGATGATCATAATTTCATGTGTAGAGTCACCCTATAGTGATTATATGGACAAAAATAAGGTGAAGTAGACTTTACACATAGAATTCTGACCGGCACGTGTAATTTTTTGGTTGGAAATTTCAATAAAATCTCAATTTGAAACATGTATGTATAGTTGTGGTACCGTTTTGATTCATTTAAGAATTAAGATACTAAAATGCAGCATTACCAATAATTGAAGTTCCATTTATGCATTTAACCCCACTTAGAATCACGTACTCAAAAGAAAACAAAACCATGTATGCGCGAAAGCATCATGACTCTTAAACAAGTAACTCCAACAAAGAGTTTCGTTAACCCATAAGCATAGCTAATGGGAGCTCTGTCATAATTAAGAAATTACTACCAGTTCAGCACCAACTCTAACCACAAGAAATGAGGTTTAGCAAGATGATATGATGAAAAATTGAAAATCACGATGGCAAGTTAGGTTCCACTTATTTCATTCATGTAAATAGAAAATTATAAGAAGAGCGAGCTAGGCTTGAGAATGGGAAAGTTGAGAGAGCTTGAGATGCTTGCTTAGTTGCTTCCCACCTTCTCCAGTTCAGTAATTCTCCAGATGGACACCATATTAATAACCCTTATAGCTACCCTCATTTATGCAGCGGAGGGCTGGAGGGGCACCCACACTGGCTCGCTCCCTCATGGGGCGGGAAATGATAAGCGAGAATGGAGTAAAAGGTCTGAATGATGGTCATAAGGAGGAGGATAGTGGCAACGACGAGAGAGATGATAGACCAAGGGGAGCGGAAGTATCTGTTCTTCAAGGTGGTCCGCTGAATGTGCCAAGGATTCCTGTAATACTCGTGCACCTCATCAAACAGGCGCATCAAGTGATCACCGGTGTAAAATTTAATATCGCGGGACCTCAATTCCGCGGCCAACTGTTTCACCATGCTCACCACACCAGCATGATCACCCTCTATGATGTTGGCATCATACAGATACTGCACGTCCTCCTCCGTCTCTATCAGGCATTCCAATAATATCACGTAAGTTGCGGCCCGCATCTCCCTGGCACCCAGTTCCGCGCAAAACCACTGCTCGTACGTGACGCAGTCCCGTAATAGCATCCACATGAACGCGCTCAGCTCTACCGGGTGCATCTCGATCACAGCCTTCTCCTTCTGGAATCGTACCGCTAGGAAGCTGTCCGATTCGTGTTTGCAGCGCTTGAGCTCGATTCCTGCTCGCCTCAGCTTCGAGGCGCAAGGTATTCTGGTCGGCCACTGCCACGTCATACGCCCCTGCTCCGGGTAATAATTGTTCACGGAATAACTCATCCGGAGCAGATCCAGAAGATGTTTCGCATCATTCATATTCCCATCTATATCCACAACGTGAGCGTCGTAGTCTCCATTACGCTTCCTCGCTGCAGGATACTTTGTCGGCCTAAAGATGCTGAGTGCCAGCATGCACAAACCACCCGCGCGCTCTTCCTCGGGCGCTGTCCTAGTAAGTTCGAACAAGCGCTGGAGCACGAAAAGGGGTAATCGGTTCCGGCCCATCATCAAGTCCCAGCTAAGCATCTCGTACGCATGCGGAAGGGTATTGACTATGTCGTCATCCTCCAAGGGAACCACCCCTCCCTCTTTCCGAAGAAGTTCAAGAATGAAGCAGCCATCAAGAACCAACTGTTGGGTGTGTTTCGGAAAATAAAGAAAATTAATTAAAATAAATTAATTAAATAAAATGACGAAAGAAAACAAGAAAAGAGATGGAGCAGAATTTGTCAAAGCTCGTGCTACGCACGATGTCCTTAAAACGTATTTGTTGCCTCCCTCGGTGCTAGGAGCGTTGCAACAATAGTTTCCCAGGATACGATGACAACGAACTAGTGTTTGAGCACACAAACAAAAGTTCCAGCGAACGAGAACAAAGACTGAACACAAAAGGAAATTTTCGGAATGCTAGCAGTGTGTTTTTGAGGTGCAAAACGTGAATGGAGTGTCTAAGTTCGTGTAAGAACGTGTTGTTGTTGCAAACCACCTGCCAGCCATTATATAGGAGGATTTGTTGTGTGAAAATAGTGAATTAATGGACCTGAACGTTGGACATCAATGACCAGTCCGTTGGGCATTGAATCGTCCATGAACTATCCATTTAACGCTGCATTAAAAGATAAGAACGTTGGGCATTAATTGTTGTAACGTTTCAGATTCAAATTAATCTCACTGTTGTGCCTGGCGAGCTACAAATTTGTAGCTTGCCTCCTCCCTGTTTTTTCTCCGGTTCTGAGCAATCTCCATATCTTCCCTGGTCTGGTGCTCTGCTGGATCCTCCACACGCCTTCGTTTCTGCTCAATGTATCCCCTCCCCAGTACTTGGTCGCATGTCGTCCTCTCTAATTCTCTATTTCCACTGGTAGCCTTGCTATCAGAACTGATTCCTTTCCCCGCTGGAACTAGCCATTTATTCTCTCTCCATTGTTTTGGCCCTTTTGTAGCTCTAAGCCAAGCTAAGGACCAAAAGGTCTTTCACTATTGACCTCGTAGCCCCGCCGCTTACGCGGGCAATAACTTTCCGCATGCCCTATTATTCCGCACAGAAAGTAGAAGCTCGGCAGTTTCTCATTGCAAAATCTGACACGAAAAGTGACTCCTTCCTCTTTTTGCAAAACCAATTTCCTTTTCAGAGGTTTCTCCAGATCAATACAAACATGAATCCTCATAAAGGATTCCCAATTCTCAGAAAAGTTATTATCATCAACTTTTATAAAAGTTCCTATAAAGTTCCTAATACGTTCCGCATTCTCAACAGTGAAATATCCCACTGGGATATCATGAACCTGAACCCAAAAATCCGCTTTATTGAGTGGAACAGATATGGGAATATCTCCCTCTTTAAGCCTACTCATAACAATCAGGTTCTGATAAAAAAGCCACAGACCTTCCTCATCAACCCTAGTGATATCCTCATCATTATAGAATTGAAAAACCGTAACACCCCCAAAGTTAGTAACTTTGAGTGGTGTTTATACTCATCGTGAAAAACCTTCAATCTAGGCCAGAGTTGTCAAGGCTAGATTGGCACTAATTGTATTGGGCTGAATACTTTAGTGGAAATCCATCTGAAATAGGGTGGGACTGGATGTAGGAGGATTACACCACCTCTGAACCAGGATACATGTTGTGTTGATTTACTTTCATACATACAGTACACACACCAAACACATCTCACTAAAGGTTTGTAGTTTGCCAGCAGCATCCTAAGCAGTAGTCTTCATCGACTCTACTGCTTCGCCTACTGCTTAATAACTCACTCTCCTTGAGAGTGTTTTCCACTAGAAGTTGTCTTAAACTCAGAAGGTAACTCAGCAGTACACTGGTCTTCACCCTCCTGCTGAGCCCACTGCCCATCCAAACGTGTCTTTCCAAAACCCATAACAAGCCAGAACAAAAAGCCATCCAAGAGTCATCCTAGTCCTCAGCAGTTGCCTCAGCAGTAACCTGCCTACCAGCCAACTGCCAACTCAGCAGTTGCCTGCCAGTCAGCAAACTGCCTGTGCAGCAGTAGCCTAAGCAGTCACCTGCTCACCAGCCTACTTCCAAGCCTACTTCCTCTCGTAACCAGTCTAAACATCATCCAAACTAGAAAGTTGTCACACACTAAGTATAAAAAGGGTAAAGACTTCCGCTGTGCATCTATTGATCTCTCAAAAGATTATAGATCAATCCATCTAGAGGGAAAAACTTCAAAAAGTTGAAAAAGACTTAAAAGTCTATTCACCCCCCCCCCCCCCCTCTAGACTTTTACCCTATCCGGGACCATCAGTTTTTCTTTCTGTACTTTATTTGTGCAGGAATTGAGGATCATGTTGAAGTTGATTTCGAGAGCTTCCGCTAGAACACATAGACTAAAGTGATTGAATAATTTATTTTAGTCTTAATTTTAAAGAATTGTAGTTGAATAGTTAATTATGAAAAATTTTAATTTGTTGGTGGTGGATAGCCTGTGCACTCGGTTATGTGAGAACCGAGTGTGGCGGTAACACCCTTGTTTCCCTATGAATTTTCCGCTGCAAGACTCTGATGTTTTCAAATAAATCTTTACTTAAATGTAATTTTGGGTGGGAAATTTGGGGGTGTTACGGTTTTTCAATTCTATAATGATGAGGATATCACTAGGGTTGATGAGGAAGGTCTGTGGCTTTTTTATCAGAACCTGATTGTTATGAGTAGGCTTAAAGAGGGAGATATTCCCATATCTGTTCCACTCAATAAAGCGGATTTTTGGGTTCAGGTTCATGATATCCCAGTGGGATATTTCACTGTTGAGAATGCGGAACGTATTAGGAACTTTATAGGAACTTTTATAAAAGTTGATGATAATAACTTTTCTGAGAATTGGGAATCCTTTATGAGGATTCATGTTTGTATTGATCTGGAGAAACCTCTGAAAAGGAAATTGGTTTTGCAAAAAGAGGAAGGAGTCACTTTTCGTGTCAGATTTTGCAATGAGAAACTGCCGAGCTTCTACTTTCTGTGCGGAATAATAGGGCATGCGGAAAGTTATTGCCCGCGTAAGCGGCGGGGCTACGAGGTCAATAGTGAAAGACCTTTTGGTCCTTAGCTTGGCTTAGAGCTACAAAAGGGCCAAAACAATGGAGAGAGAATAAATGGCTAGTTCCAGCGGGGAAAGGAATCAGTTCTGATAGCAAGGCTACCAGTGGAAATAGAGAATTAGAGAGGACGACATGCGACCAAGTACTGGGGAGGGGATACATTGAGCAGAAACGAAGGCGTGTGGAGGATCCAGCAGAGCACCAGACCAGGGAAGATATGGAGATTGCTCAGAACCGGAGAAAAAACAGGGAGGAGGCAAGCTACAAATTTGTAGCTCGCCAGGCACAACAGTGAGATTAATCAACTATCGATTCGTGGTTTAGATTCAAAAAATATGATTAAATTTGAAAATATAGAATATAAATACGAATAAAAATCAGATTTTTGGTTCAAATATCTTTCAAATAGGAATACAAATAATTATGTATTCAATTCAAAGAATAAAATTAGAGGCGTTTGACTACGATATATACAATTATCAACTTTTTTCACACATTATAAGTATAATGTCTAATATGTGTTAGTGTTTATCTCAAAAAGTTTAAAATAGATTTATATTTATTAATCATAAAATTGATTGACTTTAGTATATTGTGCACAACCTACAAACGTATCAATCCATTAAATTTTAAAGGAAAATGTACTTTTAAAAATTAAAATTTTAAAACACATATTAAGTCGTAGCATGCATTTTTATCGTAAAAAATATAAGAAAAATTAATTCAAAGTGATATTTGATTAATATTTAACTTATGCTCAAATCGATTCGATATTCGTATATGATTCGTTAATTATTCGTATTGTTAAACAAATACAAATACAAATCCAAATTAATATTCGTTTCATATTTGAATTCGGATTCGTATTCGAAAACATTAAACAAATACAAATACAAAATCTCACTATTCGACTCGATTCAGTTCGTATACAACCTTATCCCTCCGTAACTTACAATCTTCCCACTTTCCTTTTTCGTCTGTAACAACTACTTTTTCTAGATTTATCTTACATTCTATCACATTATTTCACTATCTTCCCATCATACCCTCAATAATTGAATAATTCATATCTTCTTTCACTATTCTTAATCTACCTACTTTTGAAAAGAGAAGATTTTAAATTAAGGAGGGAGTAGAGGCTTTCTAGCGGTACGAATCCTATAATTCGTACAGTGGCAGTACCGTACGATTCCAGAAGGATTGCCCCGCTCCAATAATACAGTGGCAGTGCCGTATGATTCCAGAAGGAGAAGGAGAAGTTGTGATCGAAGGCTTCCTAATAATTGCTTCTATATACTCCGTATTATATAGGCTTAAACCAAGATTTGTGTGGTATTTTTTTAAAGCAAACTGATTATATTATATTAATTAAAGATCTCAATGTACTTCCCCCCTTACAATGCTCAACCTCCTCACTCAGATCTCTAACATTACTATCTCCCTTATAACGCCAAACCTCCTCTTAAGGCTCCACAAAGCCCAAGGCCCCCCCACCCCCCACTCTCTGGTTAGACTTAGAATAGACCACCTCAGAAGGAGCGAGACTATTCGCGAACCATGTGAGAGTTTCGAAGTTTTTAACGGCCAAACAAGCATTATCGCTTCCACCAACAATAGCATCCCAAAGCAAAACAGAAAAGGTAAACAACAACCTACCACTAGAGTTCCAAACAATAAGAAAAGCAACATGAGTACCATAAAAGAAAAAACAGCAAAAATAAATAATGTCTTCATGGCTCTCGGCCTTATTTAACTCCCAAAGCTTCGGACCAATGTCTCTCACTGTTGTGCCTGGCGAGCTACAAATTTGTAGCTTGCCTCCTCCCTGTTTTTTCTCCGGTTCTGAGCAATCTCCATATCTTCCCTGGTCTGGTGCTCTGCTGGATCCTCCACACGCCTTCGTTTCTGCTCAATGTATCCCCTCCCCAGTACTTGGTCGCATGTCGTCCTCTCTAATTCTCTATTTCCACTGGTAGCCTTGCTATCAGAACTGATTCCTTTCCCCGCTGGAACTAGCCATTTATTCTCTCTCCATTGTTTTGGCCCTTTTGTAGCTCTAAGCCAAGC